TTTTGAAGGGTTTGAAACGCGTTTTATATTGGTCTAACAATTTTCGCAACGACTGCAACTTATGACGTTGAAGAGTATCTGAACAATCATGTCGAAGGTTAGATTATGCTATATCTTTCGTGTTCTAAACAGTTACATTTTTTTTACTTAATGTGTACAACTCGCTGAAACTATAGACAATATTTAGGTAATCAGGGGGTTGACAAATATAAACTTTAAATATAATCTGTACGGACATTTTAAATTGTTTTATTTAAATTTAATAGGGGTATATTTGTTTGTACAATAATTTGTTTTATATTCGATTTATTTAGTAATATTAGTATTAATTTAAACGTTAAGATTTTAAAACTGTGTAGAGAAAAACACGTGTTTGTTATCTCTGTCGCAAAGCGGTTCTGCAAAAAATTACGCATCAAGAACAAAGAACCTTATCACCATGTCATTAGCACATTATCCACACAATAAGTAATTACAAAACTAAAATTTCTTCCGATAAACATACAACTTATTTCACCAAACAGGGGAAACCTTAGCAAAACCTTAGATGCGAGTTAAATAAAACTGGGTCTTATAACCGAGTGTCAAAGTTGAAAGTTGATTGACAGGTGTATAGACGATTGCCAGAAACACACAGGCCGATGGCACTAACACATGTTGGCGACGAGTATCCAGCGTTGAAGGCCTACCTCACTCCCCCCGCCTGGTATTAAACCCGTTGGACTTTTAATGTCTGGCTCTGATCGCTAGGGTCTCGCCGCGTTGGTTTTTGTTATTCGAGCCTGGGGGTACGAGAAGGGAATCAATGAACTCGGCTGAGTCGACCGACAAAAGGACGTTTCGCTTGGCAGGTAATTAACTTAATATCTATACTTTTTAGGACCGAGTGGAGACTTAATTGTTTGATGCATCGTGTCGGTACAAGGGTTAAGATCTTTGTTGTTGTATGGATATAGCACCTTGAAGACAGACAACATTGTTCGATCGATGAAATGCGCCAGCACATCTATCGTTTAAATAAAACACTTTAACAGGTTTAAAACGCGATATATTAGTTAAACTTATTTGAAAATGATTTTTAACTTCGGCCCGACGTTAAAAATCATTTTCAAATAAGTTTAACTAATATATCGCGTTTTAAACCGTTAAAGTGTTTTATTTAAATGTGTACTACTCGCGTAAACTATAGACAATATAACATCTATCGTGTTTGACATGTTGTGCTGTCGACCTATTTTGGCATTGGATATTCGGAAACCGAATACATTTTACAGCTTTTCCAATTGTGGACGATTATTCGAGATTTGGACAGATTTTCGATGTTGCTACGATATTCAGATTTTTCTAGAATGTTTCAGACTAAAACCTAACGAAAACAAAATATGTAAGTAAAAAAAAATTAAATACTTTGTTTGATATGAAATAAATATTTCTGTATTCTGTTAATATTTAATTGGTGGCATTATAAGCCTTACCGTTGTTTAGTTTTACCTGTGTTACTACCATACACTCATCACCAAGTTCGATTCTTACTAACCCTTAATAACTAAGATACTACTTATACTATCTTTTTTAATTCAATTAAAAAATTAAAGTAGTTAAAAAAAATTGTGTTTTCTAAGTGAATAAATAATTGAAACAAAACACGCTTAAAACACGATATCAGTTAACTCATTTTTAATTTATTTTAAATACAGCTCGACGTGACGGAATAACTTAAAAAATGGCTAACTTATATATTTCGCGTTTTAAACAGTTAATGTGTATAGTGTAAATGTTTTTCATACAATTATATATATTGTTTATAAATCGCTTCAGATGACAGGGAATTATGAAGCCGATTTCCAGTTAGTCGATATTCGATAAGGCGTGCGGTGATTTTTTCGTGTTTCAATCTTTCTCCGCCTCTTTGTAGGTCAAATTCACAACGCTCTATCCGGAGCGATGTATTTTTCTTATTTATGCCTTGTTTCAGTGGAGATTTCGCGAACAATTTTGGAATTTTTCACAAACACAACCGAGTTTAATTGCATCATCCTCATCATTGCATCCTACGTGTGAATTGTGCAAATGTGAAAACTACGTATAATTGTACTCCTTATAAATAAAATTAAAAAAAACGACATTTAACGTTTTAAAAGTTATTAAGAAAAGTTTATTAACAATCTAAATAAAACATCTAATACTTTAAATAAATTAAAAATCTATATGTATTGAGGAAACGACAAGAACGGGACTGGAATCACCGCCATGTTTCTTTCAACACATTGATACTCCTCTTGTTTAAAAATTCGACTCGGGCAGGACTTGAACCGGCATCGTCAGCGTTCCGTGCTGTTGTCCTGCCCGAGTCGAAAATTTTTTCAATTTATTTTCGATTTTTAAATTACATAGTGCCTTCATGTGCAATAACATGTAAAAAAATAATAAGGTTCTCAAACACCTCTTTTTTCTTTAATATGCAATAAAATGTGAAAAATAATTAAGTTTTCCAAAGTAATACATAGTACATTTATTTTGTAATGTAATGTAATCAACACTACCGGCAAAAAAACTAGTTGTCTTCAAACAATATTAATGCATATGTTTTGCAATATTATTTATTTTTTAACTAATTGTCCAATTTACGAAGTTATAAAATATTGAGATTTTCTATTTAAAACTAATTGTTCAAGGCTTCAACTGCTTTAGATAAAGCCACAAAAACATTTAGATGACGCGTTTGTGAGGGTTTCTACCTGCTAAAGTATGTGAGGTCAGTTCCGGTTCGGGTCTCGTCTGCGTCTATTGTCCATAGAATTTTGTATACCCACTGTAACGAGCTTACATCAACGAACGGATTTATCGTCGAGATTAACAACACTAGTCTATGTACAACTCATTAATGTACGCTTAATTCATATTAGCATACCTGTGTATATGTTACACTAGCTGTGTCAGCGACTTCATTCCCGTAGTTATTTCGGGCATGAAAATCTGTTTTTGCAAACGTCCTCTTCATCTTTATAAATTTAAGCTGTTATCCATGCCGTCGGTCGCGTCCCGTCATTCTTGTAAGTTAACTTAAAGATAGACATATAATGTCGTGGTAATTTTTTTAGTTAATTTTAAAGAGGAATCATTATTATACTATTACTGTCTTCGCAAAGTAAGCATTGGGCACCTATTCGGAAATATTGAAAACATAGACAGTGATGTCTCAATGATAAAGCAATGCATCTTAACGGATCGTGGGTTCGGTTCCCACGGACTTCAACAGTTTTCTTACGTCAATACCATGCCTGAATTCAAATTCAGAACATTTCACTTGTTGGTCAATTTGTCTAACTATTGAGACATGGCGATTCCTTTAGTAATAACAATTAATAATTCAATTCGAAATAAACAAAACAATTTAAACGGAATTTTAATATGACAGACCAATGCCCACATTTCCCCGACCGTGACCATGCGTAGTTCTAGCTTCTATGGAATTCAGAGGGGTTGATAAAATATGCAACGTACTTACAAATGTTTATTTGTTGAAAACATATTAATAACGGTTAATGAACAGTACATCTAGACAATAAAACGTCTTTTTATTTGAACAACTGACGAATAAGTGAAAATTCTAGTTAAGTAGTATGTTGGTAGCTGGTTTGAATAGTTTAGTAGTAGAAAAAAAAAGAATCATACCGGCGGGACTGGAACCCACAACTCACCTCCGTACTGTTGCTCTACTTACTGAGCTATCGTTTCACGAACTTAACCGAAATAAATGCAAATCTCGCGCTTAATTTGATTAAATTAATTACTCATTCAACAAGATATGGCCTTTGTACTAACTAAAAAATACGACTCGGGCAGGACTTGAACCGGCATCGCCAGTGTTCCGTGCTGTTGCTCTACCCAATTGAGCTACCGAGCTACAAATCTGTTTCTAATAAGGAAGTTCTTTGTTCAATTAACCTTATCTACATATTGTTTTTATCTAGCTTTTACAAGCAAAGACATGGCACTTTATACCGGGTTTTCTTTTATGTTGTGGCGAAATCAACTATTTTTTATGCCCACGAAAATAGCTTACAAATATGTATCTCAAAGTACTTAGGTGGATCTGTTCTAAAACAACTCGATAATAATATTTCAAACTTTATGCCAAGTTGCCTTCAAGGTAGGAATCGGTTCATAATCTGTGTACGCTTCCACAGATAATAATAAGTAAAGCACTTTTGCACACCACAGACGATACTTAGGTATAGCGTATATGTATTCAAAATTCAAATAATTAAATAATTATAATCAGAAAACATAACTAAAGTACATTTAAATAGAAAAATATCAATATTTTCTTTTACTCTACTTGAATGACTACTACTACTTCTTTCTTCTACTAGTTAATTTTTCTATAATACTTTTTCTCAGCATATTTATTTTATAACGAGGAAAATATAATACAATACGTCTGGTGTTAGGTAATATCAAAGATGTGTGAAAGGTGTTCCAAATACCAAGTGACATTGAGTAATAGTATTCTGACCTTTAAGAAAACGGGTCTGCACAGTGAATCCTACTTTAGCCTTACATTATCGCGTATATTATTTTTTCAAATATTCGAGAAGATAGATAAATAATACCAATTATTACATGAAAAGATAAATCATAAAGTTTTACCACGTTGCGCCATAGATAAAAAGTAAAAAGTTTTAGTCTATAGTCAAATTAGGTCGACGACGTATCATCCCGATTCCCCAACGTGGGGTATAGGGCTTTTACATTGGTATCCGTCAGTTAGATTGATCGATTTTGTTTCAAGGCAAGTTCCATTACGTTTCTCCGTAATTTTAAGCCAGGACTTAACGCTAACAAAACTATAGAGTCTATGGTTTTTGGATGTAAAAAATTCAAATTCAATTATCATTTGACAGCAATTAAAAGTCAATCAAGCGCAACAAATGACAGCCCTAAACACCTGAGAGCGAGATGTTTTTAATTATCGAAGGCAAACATTCCGGAATCTGTTATGGGTCTTCATAAATGTAAATTGGAGACGCATCCCGTTTAGTGGGCGCCTCCCTCCTCCCCCAGAGCTCCCCTTTCACCCCTCTGCCATAAAATGAGGCCGAGTCTGTCGGCGAACGCCGGGTAACTAACATAAAGGCCCTTTGCTTGAACGCTGCTGTAGTATTTTTGTGTGATTAAAGTGACAAATTGTTTCGTAAATCTATCAAATGGCTACTTGAGCTAACAAAATACTTTTTACTATAAGTTATGTACAGTTTCGTATCTTATTCAAGTTAATCAAGAAAACATTGCCTTTGAAATATTATTTATTTTTAATGCGCTTTACCACAAATTAAGACATTCTATTGTAAAAATATAACAATACACTTCCTGTGTAATCTCTTTTCCCTTCTATTCAATCCAATCCTAGATATTATTTGACAAAATGATTTTAAGTACTGTCTGTAGTCTACGCGAGTAGTACACATTTAAATAAAACACTTTAACGGTTGAAATCGCGGCTTATACTAGTTAAACTTTATTTTAACTTCGGTCCGACGTATCGGATCCTTTGTAGTAACCGTTACCCGTAGTTAGCAGTGTGCTTAGTAATTAAGTGTTTTATTTAAAAATTATTTTAAATTGGAAATATTATTTTTGAAATCAAGACGTGCATGGCATGAAATTCGATGACGATGAGCGAGACACGGTAGCTCAAATAGTTACAGCAACAGCACGGATCGATGTGGATGTCGGTTGTAGTCCTGTCGTTGTCATTGAATTCTTTTTAATAAAATGTATTTATTTACACCAGTCGTTAATAATATATTGTCTTGTATAATATCTTTAACATTAATATAATTAAACATTACCATTTCCACCAATAAACACATACTTTTTTGATCCAAGCAAATTTCCCTACATTCCCTTTGAGGCGGTGTCGCTACGGAATACCAATGCGCCATGTTCTAATAAAATATTTACAAGACAAAGGAGTAGGCATCAATATGAGACGATTTACCCAGCGCTTTGATGGTTCTATTTGCGTATATTATGCTATGATTAAAATAATAAATTCACTATAAAATGTACTTGAATTTGATTTCTATTTCGTTATTCATCAATATGTAGGTATATAAATATGAAACAAGAAAAATCTTTAAAAAGGAATTTATAAAAAAAAAACAGGGAGAAATTATAAAATGACAAAGCAGATATACATATATCTTCAATAAGTTAACTACACGGTCCTACGTGACCACGGCTGCTGCAAAGCGTCCGAAACGTCGGGCCATAGCTAAAATATATAGTAAATAGGTTAACAAATACATTCCGCGTTTTAAACTGTTAAAGTGTTTTATTTAAATGTGTACTCATCGCATAAACTACAAGCAAAACTTGATTCGTATTATAAATATATCTATATATAATAATATCAAAAAACCTACAATATAATTATAGCAAAATATATTAAAATGCTTTACTACTTGGTAAAATTATTTTATGCAGTTACATAATTACTTCTCTATAGCAATGTAAAGATATTATATGTATTTTGCAGTAATAATAAAACTGATAACACTGAATACACATATTTTCCTCTATTCCATAATTGTAATTAACAATTTAGAGTTTTTATCACGAAATTAAACTTCACAGCGACCGTTGCATTGTAGGAACGTACTATGTTCTGCATAAACCTGTTCACTTTCAGATAAAAAGTAGCCTAGATTTTAATAAGGCCCGCTAGACTCAATTATAGAGTTTTGAAAACCATCAATTTTAATTAGTACGAACTTACTTAGAATTCTACATTAAAGATTATTCACTTAATTATAAAGGATAATTACTTATAAAAAAAAACGGTTTTAAACGCGGATTATTGTATATAGGAGTTAACTTATTGCTAATTTATTTTAATTACATCCCGGAGGGATACACCCCGCGACCACGGGTGTTTAGGAGCGGTCTACAATTATTAGTAACTTAGTTTTTGTTACTGTAGGTAATATAAAAAAAAACATGCAAGAGATTTCTAAAATAAATGTTTATCTCTCTACAACAATATTGCGGCTGCTAAACAGTAAACGTCCCATATACTGGCAACGAACTGCAAAACTATAGAACATAAAATGCCTCCGTTTATACCTATCGTGATGAAAATACTGCCTATTAATATCATGTAGTGTTGTTCGCGAGGTGTAACATTTCCTAATTAAAAATAGACTGTACAAGCTTCAAATAATAAAAATTCAAAGAAATACTCTAGTATTTCTTTGTAATACACACAGTTGATAATTCGATGAAAGAGAGCGCTTGTTCTTACTTCTACTCTTCTTCTTCTCAGGCGATAGTCATGTAGAAGAATGGAAGGGGTCAGATTTTTGTATATTCAGGCACAGAATAGAACAGAATAGAACAGAAACCGAACAGCTTAAGAAACAAATCCGTTGGCTTTTAGTATATAGTTAAATTGGGAACTATATTTTAAATGCGATATTTCAAAGTGGATTGCAATATATTTTTTACGTATAAAATCTAACAAGTACCTACAATAGCTAAAGTAACTGAGGGCACTTGTTACACACGTCTTTTATTTCTGAAAAATAAAATCGTTTCCTATTCCACTAATCTTTTACCTACTATAAGTAAATTTCGTATTTACTTAAACATTATCCTGGCTTTTCTTTCAACTAACCATGCGGGTCTGAAATATTATAAGTCTATACGTCTTTTAAGTATTGTTAATAACTAAAGAAACATTAACTAAAAAAGGATATGAACATATACAATTCATATTGTCTTTCATCGTGTTTATTTATTTATTACATTATAAAAATATTCTAACATTGCAGAACAATGTCCATTGCGATAGAATTATTTAATACATATTTCATGGAGTGATGTTTTTGTCAATTCACCCAAGCTACACGTAAAAATGTCGATCCCCTCCTGCAGCTTGTTGATAACACGCATAGCACGAACAAGAGGGGATTTCATCAGTAAGTTGGTGCGTGAGTACGGTAGCGCAAGTAACGGTGGTCGTAATCGCCTCCACACGTATCGGTCCGGAACAGACAAGTGTAAGGACTGTAGAACTCCTGGGTTCAACTCTCGACCCCGCAATACTTTTACTAGATATATCACAAGGAATAAGTCCCTCCGTACCTTCAATTCATTGTATCCGACCATGCCTAATACAAAAAGAGTCGGATACATTAAAGGATAATATGGATATACTCCATACATTCTTTGGTACAAATGCCTAACAAATTTGTTTTGAATGCGTTCCAACATGAGTTTGTATTTTTCTTCGGCCGGGGCCCAAATAGAGGAGTTAAAATCTAAATGGCTACGCACCAATGCGTCATATAATACCCGCACCGCAGCCATATTCGTAAAGTCCTTGGTTTGTCGTAAGACAAAACCAAGGTTTCTATATGCTTTTTGGCAAATATTTATAATATGTTCACGAAACGTTACGTCGTTCGTGAATAAGACGCCTAGATCCCGGATTCGAGTCTCTCTTCGTATGCGGGTTGTCCCTATGGTATAATCGAATTTAACAGATTTACAGGCGCGTGTAAAACTGACGACAGAACATTTATCCAAGTTAAATTCTAGTTTATGTTGCAGACTCCAGGTGTATATCTTTTGGATATCGCTTTGTAAGCATCTGCAATCGTTCACGTCTTTAACTTGTAAAAAAACCTTCAAATCGTCCGCGTACAGTAAACACTTGCTATGCTCTACGACTGATGGTAAATCATTTATCGTGACGACAAACTCGAAAGGTCCAAGGTTCGAACCTTGACTTATTCCAGACCTCGTAAAATATGGCTGCGATTGATGCCCCCCATAGTCTACATATTGCTGCCGATCACTCATATAAGAAGCCCAGAACCGAAGAAGTCCAGGAGTGCATCCTACCTGTGCCATTTTTTGTAATACTACGTCATTTTCCAAAATGTCGAAAGCCTTCCTAAAGTCGAGGTATACGACGTCGACTTGCGACCCAGCATCAACCGTCGGAAATAAATAATTCACGAGGTTGAGCAAATTCGTGGACGTCCCACGCCCCGAACGAAAACCATGCTGAGCATCAGATAATTGAGGCGAAACTTGCTCATACAAACTACGGTGGATAGCCGCCTCAAAAACCTTCGCCGCTGTAGACAACACAGCCACCGGCCTATACTTGTTTACGTCGGAACTCTGTTTACCTTTCGGAACAGGTGTAACTCTTGTTATTTTCCATTGCTCGGGATACACCTGTGCCCGTAAACAAGAGTTAAAAATGCAGTGGAGAGGCTCGGCCAGGACTCTGGCGCAATCCTTGAAAAGAAAGGCTGGAATGCCATCCGGGCCAGCCGAACGTTTAGGCTTTAGTCGAGATAAGGCTTTTCTGACCTCCGCTAAATTAAGGGAGTCCAGCTGTACCCGTGCACTGCTGTTCCCGTATGTACCTGCCGCGTCAACATCTAACAGAGGCTGCTGAGTGGCATAAACGCTTTTAAAGTAACGCGCAAACTCTTCAGCGCACTCAACACCGGTCAGTTGTTTTCCATCGCTATCGGTTATAGTAAGCCCATTTCCAGAACCCCGTCTTTCTTTTATATATTTCCAAAAAATAGTAGGATTCTTGAAAAATTGACTTTGAATTTTATTAATATGACCCTCATATGCAGTCCTAATGTAATTTTTTACTATTTTCCGACATGAGGAAAATTCAATATAGTCACTCGATAATTTAGTGGTTTTATATTTTTTATGAAGACTAGCTTTTAACCTAATTTTATCAATTATTTCCTTTGTGAACCATTGCGGATACTGTTGATAGGATAAATTTTGTTTGACCCGTTTTTTAGGCACGCATTCGTCTAATAAATTATATAAAACACTATAAAAATAGCCTAACATATCGTCCGTATTTTCCATATTGCAAATTTCGCCCCAATCCACCGAACCCAACCTTTCGTATAACCGCGTATAGTCCGCTTTGTAGAAATTCCACGCCGCCCGAGTATTACCAACGCACGCCTTAGGTTCAGTGGTGTGCAACTGATGAACAAGATGGCTTCCGCTCGACGCGACGAAAGCGAAGCGCACGCGCACCTCGAGCGGGGGGTGGTACGCATCCACCGGCACTAGCGTCTCGTCTGCCGCCGACACATGTACAGCCGACTCCGCCCCGACATCGAACCCCGCACCCAGCACCATATCTAACTGACGACCTAGGCTATTAGGCACGTTATTATATTGGGTGAATTGACAAAAACATCTGAAAAATTCGAAATAACTTACAACACTAGAAGGGCTAGAAAACATATTAAAATCGCCGATAACAATATTTTTTTTATACCTACTACATAAATGCTCTAGTATACGGAATAAAAGCATATATTCATTCTCACTGCTATTCGGTGGAATGTAAATTACGCTACAAAAAAACAAAAAATTGTTATTTAAATATATAGTAGCACAAGCCACTTCAAAATTACATTTGTCTATAGAGATACCTAATGATCCAGAGTTCCGCACTGGGCGCAGTTCAAAGCGCGGTGCCGCCACAAGCATTACGCCGCCTTGCTTACGTCCATCTGCCCTGTCGCATCTCAGAATATGATATCCGGGTGGTACGATTTCCGAATCATGGATGGACTCATTGCAACCCGTTTCAGTGATGGCATATATGTCGGACTGCAATACATGTATGTTTGTACGGAACTCGGTTAATTTTGTTCTCAGGCCCCTAACGTTTTGATAGTAAAGCTTTATATTTCTAACTATTTTGTGCTTTTCGGGACTTGCGAAACCAAACCCACTCGCTGAACTCCGCATTGACAGGCCACGTTTCCGGTTGGTTTAGTTTAGCATACAAATTTTCAGGAACGCCAACAATAAACGAAGCATAATCCCTTTGTGATTTATGTTTGATTTTTTCTACCTTTATCGAACAACTCGA